ATCGGCCTTCAGGAGATGCTGCTGTTCATAATTTTCTATAGAACTCCATTTCAGTAGATCTAATTTTTTTTTTGTTTTTTTATTGTCTAATTTGTTCTATTAGGATATTTTTGTTTGCTTTATTTACTTTCAAAATTAGGTAGAAAAACTAGTGTTATAATAGTATAATATTTAAAAAATATAATATAAAATATAATAGGTTCCCTGACATCAGAAACAACACTGCAAAGCATCAAACTCATGAAGAATTTTATTTGTAGTTGGGCTTACAAAAAATGAACAAAATACAGAACATAAAGCAATACATCGATTCAAAGTGCAGAAATACATCTAACATATTTATAATAATTTAATTGGTAAATAATATCTTTCATAAATATCTGTTGCAATTTCACATTACATCTAGCAGCAAGCAACGGCATCCATCAAAGCAACAAAAGGTGAGTTGTACATCTCAGCAGTTGGGTTAGCGTCAGTTACATGATTAGAAATGATCCAGATTCTCCTCAGTTTTTATGGCTTGAGGAGAACAAATCTCAATATTTATAGTCTGCCGCTGAATGAGAAATATTAAAACGTTTTGATTTGGAGCGGTCCTGTCTGCTTACAACCTGTTTGGAAAGTAAACTATGTCTGGTTTATCTCGCGGAGGCAACGGGTCCAGGACAGAAGCCGAGACATCCCTCTCTCCAGCTCCACCTGGACCTAAAGGTGTTCCCAGGACAGAGAGGATTTTATAACCTTCCAGCGAGATCTGAGTGCCTGAAAACACTCCAAAGGGAGGCGTCCCAATCAGACGCCTGATCCACCTCAGCTGATATTCCTTTTGATGTGAAGGAGCGTCTCTCCAAGCTCCCCCAGAACAATGGAGCTCCTCACCCTGCCTCTAAGGCTGAGCCTGGAAACTCTACCAAAGGAAGTCCACTTGTATCCAGGATCTCCTTCTCATATCTGCTTTATTTATTGCAGAAAACATTCAGATCTGTTGCTGGTTTAGTTATTAATAGAAATAGTTTCTCATCACTTGATATGCTCAAGCACACAATGAGTTTGTTAGCTTAAATCTGGTTTAATCCCTAAAAGCAAGTGATTTGCTGGAGGTAATACTGAGTTTGATTTGTAATGTGCGTTGTATTAACATGGCTAAAAGATTCTTACTAAGTTTTGATCCCATTTATTTGCCTCCAGGCCCTTTAGACAAATGCTAAATTTCTATTGCTGACTACTTTGTGTGCTATTTGTTAACTATACTGAATCCCAACAGTGTTTGAGTTGATGCCAAACTATTGTTAAGCAGAGAGATATGAAGGCACAGACGTGTGTTTCATTTCAAACACATTCTGGTGGCTGTTAAAGGACCGGAGCGGGTTATTGTTGAGAGTGAGGGACATCGCTCTGCATACAYACACGCTAATATTTATAACGAACATGTAGCATCAGAAACACAAAATAAGAATCAACCCAGTTTTTCCTCATCTAGCAGCATTGACGAGCTGTTAACTTTGACTGAATGCCAACAACAAACAAGCTGTTTAAATGTGCTCAGAAACAACTCGAGCACCTCAAGGTCTTTGTTTGTTTTCAGAAAACAGATAAAGATTTTGTGGACAGATATCTGCATCGAATCACCAGAATCTCATTAGTCGTCGTTTGACTTCCTGCTAACAAATGAGGCTAACTCGCACATTCGGAGAATTTCAAATGAACTATTTTCACTCCTGGGAATGTGCGTAAGGCAGAAACACTGAAAAAGAAAATGAAATTATATCCTAAGGAGGTGACCACAACAAAGACAAAACATACAGATTTTAAAGAATTGTTGATTGGACAAAAAAACTACAAACTACAAAACATAAACAAACAAAAATGATTGACCATAATAATAAAAAAGAGATGTCCTTTTCTTGGACATCCACTTAAAATGATTTGTGCAGAACTGAATACAGTACTTATAGAATGTAACACAAAAAACTAGATTTATATTCAGCTCTACATGGTCTGATTGAAGGAGTTCAGTGCAAAGGGTGAAACGGTGCACAGCTTTTTATTAAATACAATATTTTTGAAAAAGCTTGTGCAAGGAGGTGGGCCTTTATTTCCCTCTAAAGTCAGAGGCCGTTCAGTTTGATTCAGAATGAAAGAAAGAGAAACAAAGGCAGAAAATGAATGAAGACTTACTGCTGACTGACTACAGCAGTGGTGTCCAAAGTCAGTCCTCAAGGGCCGGTGTCCTGCATGTTTTAGGAGCTGCCGTGGTTCAACACAGCTGAACCTAAGGAGGGTCTAATTAGTAGGCCTCTGCAGACCTTGGCTGTGTCCGAAACGACAGGCCGGGCCCTCCGGAGGACCCAGACTACCTGTTCGAGGTGGGCCGGGTCCTTGGTAGACCGGGAAGACCGGAAAAAAAAGAGGCTGTGAATTTGGACGGTCTAGCCTCCCCTCCTTACCCCGGCGTACGTGCTATCACCTAGCAACCATGACGATGCTAAACATAAGCAAAAATAGATCGAAATTAGAAAAATATCAATATATTACCATTATTAATATCACAAAACAATAAAATTAACTTAAAAGGTAACATTTGAAGAACTAATTGACCCGCTGTAGGTTCATGTTTATTTTGCGTTTTTTTATTACAAAAATAATATTTAAAAATGCATCTATACAAATGATAAACATATTAGAATTACAACCGCTAAAAAATTTAAATTTTTAAATCACCATATTTTCATTTAAAACGTATTCTTTTCTCTCGCTTCGTCCGCCATTACTAGCTTAAAAACATCTCCGGTTGGGCTGCAATGCATTATGGGATATGCTGGGCCGAGAAGGATCCATCGGACCTGTCCTTCAAATCGGGGAAAAGGAAGGACGTATTTGTCGGCCGCATCGGAGGAGTCTTCGGTTTGGGATGGCCTTCGTCGCGGCGCTGTGACGTATGCGGCCGACGAATTCGGCCTTCGGAGGACCCGTCCTGCCGTTTTTGGACACAGCCCTTGATGGCACACTGAGGAGGCCTACTAATTAAGCACTACATGCAGGACTTTGGCCCTTGAGGACAGACTTTGGACACCACTGGACAACAATGAAAGTGACCTGAAGAGCATTCAGCCCTTCTTTATGCTTAAATGTTTCTTCCTCCGTTGACGATGTTACCTCCCGGAGGGGCGATTTGGATGGAGTCAAGAATCGGCCGCAGAATCTGTCCAAATGGTCTGGAGGTGGAGCAAAGAGATTTGATATTTCAGAGCAGAATTGAAAACCAGTGATTGCACTGTAACATATTTCGTAATCAATTAACAGGATTTCAGAATCACTATTATGTTCTACTTTGTGATCGACTGAAATCCTTTACTTTAAACAATAAAATAATGAAGAAGTGTATTTATCTAACACACTCCTTGTGCAAAAAATTACACACACACACACACCTAATATTTTCATATTATAGAATTGCAGTAACTGGTGTCCAAGGCCCRGTCCCAATACTCCCCTTGTGTTCTTCAAATGTGAGTTCCAGCTGAAGGGTTCGAGTGCATAGTGTGTCCCAATTCTCCGAAGTAGTCTTTTGCCCCACCTCCTTTGCGCTCTTGATCCACACTGTGGATAAGACCACATTCAAGTGGTCTTCGGCCAAGTGTATTGTCCCCAATTCATCACTGTACTAGATGTTTCAAATAAAAGGTGGAAATATGGCAATGTCTACCAAGCACCTTCCAGTCTAATGGTGGCAGTAATGCACTTAAATTAGTGTGCCAACTGCCAATAAAATCAAAAGAAGAAGAAGGCCCACAGAACAAGTCATCTGTCATTAAAAACTTTTTCAAATGTAAAGTATTGACATAATTCTTGTTTCATTCTACTGTGCATATGCCAAAACAGCRCCCGGTCACGCCATTTTGGATGTCGCAGTTCCGACACAGAGGTGCAAGCCGATTACGTAACCTGTACTATCCCAGTTCTCCAATTTTTGCACAACCTGGACACTCGAACCCTTATGTGCACTACGACTGAGTACACACTTCATGGATGGGCTTATGGTAGAGTGCGAGTACTGGAACCAGGCCCAAGAGTCAAGTCACCAGATAGGAGAGAGAACTTCCTTATTTACCATTGCATCATTCCCGGAGGCATGTCTTGGCTCTAATGTAGAACTAGTGTCTATCTAAAATTTAATTAATAGATCACAAAATATCTTACAGCACTTTCACCTTCTCTCAAAAAATACAGTTTCTGTTAGCTTCTGCTTTTTAAGATGGAAAAGTTTTCTTTCAGCAGGACTAGTAGCCTGCTTCTGTGTCCTGCTGAAACCTCTCCATGAACTGAGTTCACGGAGAGGGGCTGAACAGGTGCTGCTGCAGTTAACAGTTATATATTATATACAGTATTATAGTCGAGATGTCGAAAGCAAAATGGTCCAAAGTGTGGTGTCACTTTACAAAATAAGATGCAGAAACTTCCACCTAATATTTGGTGCAAAGACAAATTATTAATGGTTTTAAGTTAATAAGTTGGTCAATTTCAAGTTTGACTTTGACTCAGAAATAGTTATCGCTTCATAAACCTCTGTGTGAGTGTGTGTGTTTTATTTATTTATTTTTAAAGTACCGATTTAAATACCGTTTAGGAACCGGTACTGTTTTGAAAGTATYGATTTGGCACCGGTTTCGAAATAAACCATTTCAACACCCAACCCTAAACATAACGTAACATAACGTAACATAACAGTGTTGCATTAACACATTGCTGAACTTTTTGAGCTAAACCAGTCACTGTAGTTTAAAAAGCTTTTTATTGGCTGAATAGTGATGATGTTTTTGTCTGTGTTTGTTCTTTATCATGTTAGCAAAATATTTCAAAAACCGATGAAAAGATTTTAATGATATGAATTCCTTCACTTAATATTACTGTCATTACTTCAGAAAGACCTGTCTGGTCTGTGATGCTCTGTTTCTACCCCGTCATACTGTTCAGCTGTTGTAAATACATATTTGTTTAGCTCTATGATGTTGCACAACTGAGTATTTTTAGCATTTAAGCCTGACACAATGTGTTCTTCTCATCCCAACCTTTAAAAAAATCTGAAGCCTTGGCCCTGTTTTTATTTACATTTTTTAAAAGCTTCCTAACTTTTTCTCCAAGACCGTATGTGAAACCCGAGCCGTGTGATTTGTGTGGCTGCAGGCAGTGCTGCTTGTGCTCACTTGGACGCAGAAAAGTCGCTCTGAGTTAGTGGAAAAAAACTTGTGTCTGGCCTTGTGACTAACAGAAATCAAAGAGACACATCCAAACAGCTCAACAAGAGTAAGTAGGGCACAGTGAGAGGAAAACCTCTGGGAGCTGCGGCTTGTTTCTGAAGCTCACGTCTGTGTGTCTTAATTCGAGACTGTGCATTCGACAAGTTCTACTGACTCAAATAAAGCCTTTGTGTAACACTGAGCTCTAATGACTTTACACTGAAGACCAGACAGTGCTTGGACAGTTTCAGACTCACGTGGAAAGGACTTCAGATGGCAGGTCGGTGATGTAGGAGGGTATAGACCTGCCAGTCAGGAACTGAGCCACCTCGTTAGTGAAAGTGTTGCAGTTGTGCTCAAACAAACGATACCTGTCACCTCTGAGCAAAGAGAAGCAAAACGAGAAGAGCTACAAACTGGTTCTGTGTGCTGAAAATCACTGACTTCTTTAAGATTTTGTGTATTTTTTAAAGAAAAGCTGGTTTTCTCTGACCTGTATGTGCTTTCACCAAGAGATGAGAGGTAATCCATGAAGATCTCCTCGGTGACTTCAGTCTCCCCCAGTTCCACCACTGTGTCTGGAGGTCCCAACATAGTCCCACCCTGACAAATAAATACACAAAGATTATCTTTCTGAAGTGAAAAAGCAACAACAACAACAAAGAACAGAGAAGAGCTTCAGTCTCTGTGATRTAAACCCTGAGTTGTTGGTCCCCTCCTACCTGAAGCAAACTGACAGGTTGTTCATTTTTAGTCCGACTGAAATAGGGGTGCAAACCAAATTTTTTAGGCAATTTCAATAATCACATTTATTAACTGTAAATTAGTCTGTGGTTCTGAGAAACTCATTTTAAAGACAAATATGTTTTTCCTCAAAAAACCATTTTTTTTATTATAAATTTTCTAAGATGTATCATCTACAACAGGGGTGTCAAACTCCTGTCCTCGAGGGCCGCTATCCTGCATGTTTTAGAGGTTTTCTTGCTCCAACACACCAGATTTTGATCACTGGGTAATTAACAGGCTTCTGCCCAATTTGAAGAGTTAATTCAATCACTGAATCAGGTGTGTTGGAGCTGGAAAACCTCTAAAACATGCAGGATNGTAATTAACAGGCTTCTGCCCAATTTGAAGAGTTAATTCAATCACTGAATCAGGTGTGTTGGAGCTGGAAAACCTCTAAAACATGCAGGATAGCGGCCCTCGAGGACAGGAGTTTGACACCCCTGATCTACAAGTAAGTTCTTAACTCAAGGTTAATTACTCTGAATTATATAAACTCAATGTAATCACTCTTTCAGGAAACAGAATCCAGGAATTTCCAGATTAGGAAAAGGAATAAATTTAGAGTTCATTAAACATCCTTTAGGGTTTAAGSTGCTTCATCTAGATACTTATTTTTCTTACTAAAGAAACCAAAATCCTTCATGTTTTGTTTCTTACTGGGGAACAGCTGGAGATCCCTTCTCCTCCAAAGAAGAACTCATCTCCATAAGTTACAATAGCTGTGTGCCTGAAAGAAAAGAAATAAGATTAAGAAATAAATTTTAGACTGAACACTGGCGTTTTAAACGTAGTAACTGAAAAAATCTGAGTCTGCTCACAAAAAATAAGCCATTTAGCTTAACAAATAACCCAGTAATTACTACAATGATATTGCAAGAAACTCTGATAATACAGCAAACTATTTTCATTACTAGCAAAATTCTGCACATATTTTGATGCATTTTGTTAATATTAAAACATTTCTGTCATTACATTTCACCAGGTGATTTTTTTACCTTAATAAGCAAAACAATAGCCAACACATTAACATCTGCTTCATAGACAATAATGTTCATTTCTTTATCTGTGTTTTTAAGGCTCAGCAGTTCAGACTTACCATATGCCATCCAACTGTTTACCTGCAGGAAAAAGAAAATGAGTGATAAAACAGGCAGCAGATGTTACATTTACAGGCCAAGCCGGTCTAAACAGGAGCTTAATTATGGCTCACATTTCATGACCCAATTCAGGCAGGTTATGTATGAACCTCCATCAGTCATTTTGTATTAATTATTAGAGGAAATGATTAATGGTAATAAAAAAATGATTAAAATACTAAAAACCGGATGGTATTCATTAGGACAGCTGAAGGGGGGAAACACTTATTTATTTATTTATTTTTTTACCGGTCTGCATCATTATTTTTTAAATCTTTGATATCTTACCTAACATGATGGGACTGATGCTGCGAGCCATTCCTCGTGATAAATCATAAATGTACAGCTGTACATTGTGTCGCGTTGTATTCTTGTTCATTGTTTAAACTCTACAAAGGTTGAATTTTCTCTCAGCTAGCTAAAACTGGACCTTTAAATCAGAAGTCAAACGAGAACGATGATGTCATTACGTTCGCCGACGAAAAGGACTTCCGTTTCTGTGGATTTCAAAATAACACTACTTTTTTACAGAGACGCTTCTTCGAGCGCGTTTCCCCAACGACACACCACCTCGCTGCGGCAAGTAGAAGGGGGCGGGGTCGTGCCCGAGGCCCGAGTCATACCACATAATAGAAGTAGCACCATAACATCCATAGATTGACGTATTCATTTCTATGAGTAGCACCATTGCACTCCGGAAACGAAAGGGGCGCCATTTCCTATACTAGCAGCGGATTATTCTTTTTTTTATTGATGTTTATAGATTGTTCTTGTGTCTGCCGAGTGGTGAATAAATCCACATGCCCACCAGTCCACCGGGAGTTACTTCTGTTTTATTCATCTTCCACATAACACCAGCACTTTTCTTTATTTACTTAACTCTGGCTAACAGCAACCGGTAGCGGTACTTCCGGTATTAGCAACTCGGTATTTCAAAATAAGAGTCCGTTAAAATCTATGAAGCAATAAATTTTCTACTAAACTATCGGTTATTCTTGATTTCCAACACAATATTTTCTGGATATTGTTCAACAAAACATTGAAAATTTTAGATAAATGTTCTACAGAAATATTTATTTGAAAAATCTTGAATAGTGTTGAAAGCAAATCTGAAAAGTAAATTTAACATTAATATAAATATATTGTTTTCATTTCATTCTCCAAAAATGGGGAAATGGTCCTTTAAACGTTTAACACTGTAGATCAGACCATTTAATTTGAAACAAATACATTTTAATAACAAGGCTCCCTGTAAATAAATGAACACTAGCTAACTACTTTTTTATTTTTAGACTGTATTTTTTTAAATAAACTAGCTAGTGTAGCTAATTTCTTTAAAGGCACAGTGTGTAGGATTTGTTGTTTTCAGCGACATCTAGTGGTTGAGTGGTTGAATCATCCTCCCTGGTCCTCCCCCCACCCCCACCCCCTGCTTCCAAATGCTACGGTGTYTCTCAGGTGTCAAAAACCTTTGATAATTCCAACTGCGATGTCTACCAGCAGCTTCAGGGCTAGTGATGTTTCAAGTGGTAAGATTATGAGCTTTAATAAGTAAAATTATCCCAGCTATGTTTACATGCACAAAATGTTTTAATCGGATTGAAATGTATTCAGATTAAATAATCCGAATGTACTGTTTACATGGACACAATCCGATCATAAAAAGTGTTTACATGCACAAGAGTTTTATTCAGAATAAAAGTCCGGACATGCGCAGTGTTGTAAACGTTCAGCTCTACTTCCGTGTTACAAACGTAAACAAAGCTCCTCTGTGCACTCAGGACGGACCGTGTCAGCTTTTAATAACGGTAGAGACGCCGTTACTCCTCGGTTGAGCTGCAGCCTGCAGATGAAGCAATACGTGCTTTTTATTTTTGTTTTTTGCGAAGCAACGTCTGCTGTTTGCCTCCTTTTTCATCTGTTAAGAGAGCGTGGAGGAAAAGTTCTGCACGGTGCAGCGCAGCTGGAGCTCTGCTGCCCCACCGGGTGGATGAAAGTCAGCAGACATGCGCACAGGTCAGTTTTCTACAATCAGAATAAGATGATCCGATTAAGTGTTTACATGAACGTCATTCCGATTATCACTCGGCAAAACCCACCCTTTTCATTTGGATTAAAAATTCATTCGGATCGAGCTCAATCGGCTCAGAATAATTGGAACGGGCTGTTTGTGTTTACATGACTTATTTTTATTCCGAACGGCCGTTTAGTCATTTAATTTACTTTTGTCCATATAAACGTAGCTAATGACAGACAACAAATATTACATTTATAGTATTACAACTAAAACCGTTTTTGACGCCGCCACCGCAGTTTGTCCTTCATGAGCCTTCGTAGACAAGATGGCGGTGCAAGATGGCGACTGCCAGTAGTGGCGACCCGCGACCATGGAGATATAAACAGCTTTTTGTAAGGTAAAAATAATAAAACAAGGTCTTTGTCTGCAATGATTAGACATGTTTTTTATTATTGTCATTAGTGATTATCTCAATTTTGGCTAAAAGACGACAAAATCCTACACACTGTGCCTTTAAAACAAATTCTGTAGCTATGTCTGATGAATGGTCTGATGAAACATGTTGTACACAACATGATGTTTCATGACCTGTATAACTTAAAAAAAATTTAATTGATTCTTTTAATTGAAGGCAACTTCAAAAAGGTACCATAATGTATACATTATGTATTCACAAAATACAAATAAGAAAATAAAAACAATAACAATCAAAACTAAGCAGAGAATAATAAAAAGCAAAAATCTTAATCAAAACAAATGATCCAAAGTAAAACAAAAAACTTGGATGGRGCACCATCAAAAAGATAATCACCGCACAGGGCAATACATTAAAGTATGAATGTTTTAAAAAAGTCAGCTTAAAAGCCTTTTTTTGATTTCATAAAACATAACGATTCATAGAACAACTTTAACTCATTCTTCCACTGCACAAAATTAGGAATGGTTTTAAAGAAACAACATTTATGTATGTGATGCTTGGCTAATAATCGAACATTATTTATACCATAGTCAATGTTATGTTCATTGATAAAAACACCAAATTTAACATCTTGGATGGTTATGTCTGTTAATTGTATCCCATGACCACAAATAAACTGGTGAAGGTCTTTCCAAAAAGATTGTACAACAGATGATCAAAATCCTCTACTACCCTTTCACAAAACATCCACATCCATTTTAAACCTATGTCTCAAAAAGCCATTAGTTGGATAAATTTTGTTTATAATTTTAAATTGCATTTTTTTATTATTTTGGAAGAGAGTGGGAAAGATAAATATTTAGAACTAATCTTCGTAATTTGTTCCTTGTTGAAGTCTTGGCACAGTAACTAGATAAGCAGCTTCATATAAACTTATTATTGCATTTCACATCACAAAAATTAACATTTTCAATACGAAGTGTCCGTAAACGAGGGGAAACCTTGGAATATATAAAATCCTGTCTAACTATGGATAAAAGCTGACGAAGAAAGGCCTTGATATTTTTTTTATATTTTGCCTGGGTGCAACGTATTTGAAATTTATCACATAACTCAGAATGTTGTAATATGTTTCCCCCTCCATCCAAAAAATGAACAACAGCCCACACGCCTTTATGAAACCATTATTCAATAAAGATAGATTTTCCATTGATCAGTATATATCGATTATTCCATATTGGTGTGTAATGTGGTGTAAAGTTGTGTTTGAAGATGAGCTTCCAATACAAAAGAGCCTGTTGATGGAAATYTGATAGTTTTACCAGTAATCTCCTAAGATCAAAATCACATCTTAAGAGGTAATCAATTCCACTTAAGTCTTTGAAGACCTAATTAGTAATAAAAAACCATCTTCATTTTGTATACAACGTCTAATCCACTTTATGTTTAGCATCCCRTTCATAACATCAAAATGACCTGTATAACTAGCCAACCATTTGCACAACAAACGTTAGCTAACTATATATTTCTTTACCAGCTGTCAGCTGATCACTGATGATAAAAACAGTTTTCTGGAGCTTCTGGTGCTTTTAACACATGAAGCCTTTCTCCAACAGGTCCATGAGAGGAGGAACTTGAAGTCGCTGTTGAGTTGCCATGACAGCAGAGTTAAACTTGCGTTTTGACTAAAAAGATTGACTCTTCTTCTATTTCTGGAGTATAAATTAAAAATAGGACCAAGACCCGTTTTTYGATTTTCAATATCGGTTTTTAAAATAAAAATGTGACGAAAAAGTACACCTGCTATGTTAAAGCATTTGTAAATGATCATTGATATAGCGCCCCCTTCATTTCCAGAGTGTAATGGAGCTACTTCCATATATGGTATGGCTCGGGCCTCGGGCACGACCCCGCCCCTTTCTATTTGCAGTGAGGGGTTAAAGGGCTGGACACACGGGGAGCGACAAACTACAGCGATTTACGGCTGTCATCGCAGCCAGAGTGAAACCTGACACACGGGACGCGATAGCGATCGCAGCGTCGCGAATCGCGCTCTCAGGTCACTTGTCTTCACGAAATTTGATTGGTTCTTGACTCTGAAGGCGGGTGTGCATTACGGACGTGTAAACTAAACAAATCTTGTGATGCTAATGATATTGAAAAACAAACACACATCAAGATATAGTTTTATGAGGAAAAACTTACCATAAACTTCACCTTGGTGCCAATAAATTCCCACAAAGCTTTTTAGTAATCACTTGGTGAAAGTGTTAGCTAACTGCAGTGTGTAGCATACTCTCCTCTCATTGGTCAGTCAATGAAACCCTCGCTGATTGGTTGGATGCTAAGCGACAGTGACAAAAGTTGAACATTTTTCAACTTTCATATGTCGGCTCGACACACGGGAGGCRACATCACTCGCTCTCCATTCATTTCCTATGGAGCCTGTGCGGTGAGGCGACAATYGCTTGCCCTCCTCCAGCTAAGCGACCGGCGAAAATAGTGCATGTGAAATTTCGCGCTCGTACACGTAGAAGTGCACGTGCGAGCTTGCGATGCAACATATGAAAGTTTAAAAATGTTCAACTTTTGTCACTGTCGCTTAGCGTACAACCAATCAGCGAAGGTTTCATTGACTGACCAATGAGAGAAGAGTGTRCCACACACTGCAGTTAATCACCAAGTGATTACTAAAAAGCTWTGTGGGAATTTGTTGGCGCCAGGGTGAAGTTATCCGGTAAGTTTTCCTCACAAAATTGTATCTTGGTGTGTGTTTGTTTTTCAGTTTGGAACTGATAACCTCTGATAACAGGAGGCATTTACTGGACTGACAACATTTCACTCATAGCTGGTGGTTCCTGAATGCATCACCTTGTCCAGCCTGCGTTGAACTGTCAATCATGATTCCGCACTGCCTGTCATCCGAGGCCCCGCCCACCACGCTAAATTGGAGTCATAAGTTTGAAACTGAAAATAAAATGTTTGAAACTGAAAAAATAATTTGAAACTGAAAAAGAATATTTGAAACTGAAAAGACAAGATGTTTGAAACTTTTCCAGGTTCTAATACTGTAAATTGTTTTTCAGTTTCAAATATTTTTTCAGTTTCAAATGTTTTTATTTTTCAGTTTCAAAGTTATTTTTTTCTGTTTCAAAGTTATTTTTCCAGTTTATTTTTTTTCCAGTTTCAATTTTTTTCAGTTTCAAATCTCCTTTTTTTAGTTTCAAAGTTTTTTTTTTTATTATTTTGAACAAAAGTTATGACCTCAATGTAACTCCGTATCGTGGGCCAACTAAAAGGCTGTGGCAGGCCACATTTGAGTCACGGGCCATGAGTTTGACACCCGCATTAAGACTTTTTCTCAGGTACTTTTCTTAGAGGAGACTTAACTTTTACCAAAATGGTTTTGTGGTAGGATACTTACCAAGTATACTTTCACTCAAGCTCGTGAAAGTCTCATATCACAAGAGATTGTGTTAAACCTCATTTGATGATCAGTTTCATTTTTTTTTTCTCGCTCTCTAAACACACCTAATATATTACGTTTCCACTCAAATGGAAGCCCCACACATGGTTCCTCTTTGTGTGTTTACAGTCAGGGTGAATTGTTTTACCAGAGTGAGATGAGGAAGCAATCTGTAACTATCAGATGTTTAGTTCCTCTTGTGCTGTTTAAACTCCCAGCTTCAAAAGAAATCTTTTTGGCACATGATGGGAGACACAGAAGCAGATCCTTTCTTTAAGAAGCTCAGGTGCGATATTGTTTTTTTTTTTTTTTTTTTAGTTCAAGCTCAGACTAGGCCACGATGTTTAAACTGAGTTCAACATGGAGACTACTCACATATTGATGAATTAATTTGCTCTTGCAGGATAATGAATGAGGGAAATTCAGTTATGAGAAACTTGAGAGCTTTGATTCTTACAGTTCTTGTCTCTGATCCTAGACTTGGTCCAAGCTCCTCAGTGCTGCATATCTACCTGAGAAGTTTAGAGCAAGTACAGGATCTCTGAGCATCACTACTATACACCAAAAGGTTTTGAATGGAATGGTTCTATATTTAGAACATAAAGACTGTTTAAGGTAAATACCAGGTGCAATGTTATTTAAAATTTAAATAGTCGTGTTTTTGTTGTCGTTTTGTTCAGGAGTAATTCCTCAGCATCATTTACTAAATATCTGCAGTCCAGTTAGAAGCGGCAGAAAACGGATGGACGGACAGTTAGAACATGTTTTAAGTGATTGATTTGTTTTTTCTCTGTTTTTGTCAGTATAAATCAATACTGATCAACTGGTGTCCCATGGGCCACATCAGGGCTACAGGAGGACACTCTTCTGGCCTCAGTAGGGGAGTGTTTAATCAGTAAACAGTGACTTGTAGGTCTGCTTTGGATGCAAAGTTCATTTTTTCTGCACCCAGGACAGTTATTTTCTTAAATTGCCTAATACTTTTTACAATAAGATCCATACTTTCCACATCAAAGGATGATCTCTGCATTCTGATAAGAAAAGCTCTGGCCCCTCTGTAAATTTTGCTGATGACCACTGATTTAAACTACAACTTAAAGGGACAGTCTRGTGATTTTCTGTAAAACAGCTATCTATGGTCATTACTCTGTGGCAACGTCATCAGAGGTTAATAGTAAATAAGTACATTTACTTTGTTATAGTACTTAAGTAGTTTGTTGAGGATTTGGAATTTTACCAATTACTTTTTGAAATAGCTACTTTTACTTTTATTTCGTAACATTTYAAAGCTAAAAATTATACTTTTACTTCTTTTAAATTTGACACCTAGTTACTCGTTACAAATTAAATATGTTCATACTCATCATGAGATGTTTCTGCACTCTAAAAAAATGAAGTGTGGAATTTACTCAACAAAGTCATGTCAACTGGCTCCACTAAGATTACTTAAGTTCAGCAAAAAATATACATACAGCTCATTTTACTCAACCTGGCTTAGAGGAACCAGTTTGGTTCAGTAAATTCAACAGTTCCTTAGAGAGAGTGTGTGTGTAAAAGTACTTTTACTTTCCCAATTTTTGTGAACAGTTTTATGACTTTTACGAGTAGTTTTCTCATCAGTGAAATTTATTTTTACAAGTCATTTTCTGTTCCTGTAATTTTACTTTTATTTTATTTTCAAGTACGTTATATACCTCTGTCAGTCATTGAGCTTAACGGAAGTTTTCCTCCAAGCTAATGGTCATACAGGTGCAAAAGGTGGCTTCATTTGCTAATATTAAACCTCTATGATGTTTGTTTCCACTTTCTCRGCCAAACCACGTTCATTTTACTCYGATCTGATCAGTCCAAAAGTTTCCTCAACTCCTGGCAGACTGATCAGCAGCCACAGGAGACTAATATTCAAATAGAAATATAGATGTTGTTCGGTTGTTTTAAAAGCCTGAAAATGATCTAAGAGTTTGATTAGATATTACAGTAGCTTTATCAGGCAAAAGATACATATCATTTCTCCATACTTTGACCACTCATAAAGTACGATCTATTGATAACAGATCACTTCAAAAATGATCACACTACCTCTTTAATGTCAAATACAATACTGACCCTATCTGTATTACCAACTTAAAAACTTAAATCACTTACCGTAATTTAGATTAAGGGGCTTAAAAGTTCCCTAGTTAAACAAACTAAAAAAAACTACTTCAACTGCAGACATTATTAAAAGTGATAAATGTGGATGTGACGTTATTATTGATATTAAAGGGGAAGAAYACCAGGCAACAGTTTTATTTTATACATTTTTACAAACACCACAGAGTCATGCAAGACCTGAAATGCACAGATGAAATGACTTGATCTTACAAAGCAGACATTTCATGCAGACACTTCCTCGTCAACACTCATTTCTTCATCGGAACATGGGAGAAACGTATCCAGTATTTGGAACCGAGTTTCTATTTAAATGGAACAGAGTGTTACAGAACTGCTGCATGGAAGACGTTCTCACCAAATGCTTTTTGTTTTTTCTCCCTGAGCAAAAAAAAAAATAAATAAATAAAAGCTGACTTTATATGAGAAGGTGCGAAAAGCGGAGTTGGAATGGATAATATTAATATCAATCAGGTCTGTTCACATTTCTGTTTACTGCAGTTTAAAACTTCAGCTAGCTTAAGTGAATTTTGTCAAAGCCGTCGCAGTAGAGGAAGAGTTGATGTTAATAGGAACGTATGTTTTAGTACCATGCAGTTTAACCCTTGTGCACAGCTGCAGTGACAGCTGTGCACAAGGGTTAAATGGTACTATTTACCTTCCTGTGAATGATGAGGAACTTTTTCTTGTTCCAATATTTGAATAAAAGCTGAATATAGGCAGATTTTAGAAGAACTTTCTTTCCTTCTTGTTCAAAGCAACATGCTCCATTCAATGCAAAAAACTAAATACATAAAAAAGCTCAAGGTCAAAAAAAGATTAATGATATAAAATGTTTTTGCTTGTTGTGTTTTGCCTTACAGCTCGTCTTCAAGTCTCTTAATGCTCTGAACATTCTGACATCTCAAACTAGGAGCTTCAACATGAACTGGTTGCTTGTGAGGTGTTGGCAGGTCTTCTGTCACTTCAGTTATTTTGAGCTGCAGAAAGTGACGATGTTTAAGCTGACTGAGGTGCCCGGTAAAGATCAACAAAACAGAAGAAATGATATATACAACGTTTTGTGCAAGATAAAACATTTAGTCAATTTTTAGACTTTAATTTCATCAGGATACAAGTGCCCATAATCCTGACATAATCCTGACATGGATAAGTGTTTTTCTTACAGCACTAAGCAGGAAGGTGCAGCAGTGGATCTGGTTTCTGTCATTGAACCCCAGCTCAGCGGTCCCTCTCACACTCCCTAGTCGTCCACAGTAATATTTCGGAACAAGTAGGCCATAGATTCTCCATTGTGGATGCGACGGATGGCCTCTGCCAATATCATGCTGACGTCCACTGTCTTGATCTTTGGACACTGGAGCTTCTGGACCTCGTGGGGTACCGTGTTTGTCACGACCACCTGAAGAAACCAACCAACAGAGACTGGATTTAAACTTCACAAAACAGTTCTCTTGTAAATGACTGAATTACTGATCACTGAACATTAAACATGTGGAAAGGTCAAAGGTCACATGCGGAAAGGTCACAAGATCGATTGGTCCATTTATAAACAAATACATAAACTATAACAACAGAATACAATTGGTCCTTTCCAGTGTATTTTTGTTATTCCCCAGTGATTTTCCGTGTGTGTGTGTGTGTGTGTGTGTGTGTGTGTGTGTATGTACATGTATTTGTTACCTCGTGAGGACAAATTTGGACCATTTTCCATACACACAGCCTTGTGAGGACCCACTGTTCCTTAGTGGGATAAAAGCCCAGTCCCCATGAGTTCAAGTGCAGTTTGTGGGTTAGGGTTTAGGACTTCGGTGTGAGTTGAGTTTAGGTTAGGTTTAGGGTTAGTTATGTACTGCGGGTGGTTAGGGTAGAAATAACTGGAAAATGAATAGAAAGCAATGCAAAGACCCCATGAGGATAGAATAACAAAYGTGTGTGTGTGTACTTGTTACTTTTTTAGGGTGGTTTCTGGTTTACACACCTACCCTGTCAAGACCGGTAGTCCTTATGGGAACCAAGGTTGGGGGTTTTAGGTTTAGGGTAAGTGGTCAGGGTTAGGCTWGTCAATGAACGGTCCCAATAAGAACAGAAACACAAACGTGTGTGTGTGTGAGAGAGAGTGAGAGACAGATCTTGTTTCTCCTCTGTGCTCCAGTCCCTCCCACTCTCATCCATTCCCATGTGTCTCCCTGCCAGGTGTCTGTGATTTACGTGTCTTTCTGTTCGTTTGTCAGTCATTATGCTCGTGTGAGCCATTCCCAGTTTCTCACCTGTGTTTTCACAGAGAAGGTCTGTAAGTAGTTTGAGCTGCTACACCAGCAACTTATTTTTGAATAAATCATTTTGCATTTGATCTCCAAKTTCCTCGTTCTTTTTTGTTCTCTTGGGTTTCAAACCAGACTATCAGAGTTTTCCATTCATTTGTCACCAATTTGTCTCTCCAATTGTAAAAAAAAAAAAAAAGTCCCCTTGGTTAAAAAAACACACACAAAAAAAAACCTATTTAAACTAAGCTGCAATCATTGTTTTCTGAACACCTGATCGTTTTTAAGAACTGAAAGCAAAAACAGAAGCGTGTTGGAAATGAAGCCGTCAAAAACAACAATGCTTTGTTCCAACTGTTGTGCTTTTTACAAGAGTTTAGAGTTTCTGTTATCGTGCCAATGAACATTTTTTACAGAGTTGTTTAAAAAAATGTGCATCAGCTTTTATTTATCTTTAGTTGAATATGTGAGACAAAACATTTTCATTAAATAATTCAATTAAAAAACTCAAAAAACACCATAGCTGTTGGACATTTTCACCTCATCAATGGCCGATTCTTCTATGAGACGTGGAGCATCTGCAGAAAGTAAACCATGCGTGGCCATAATATAGATCTTATAGGCTCCTCTCTCTTTTAGGATCTCTGCAGCAGCAACAAAATCTCCTACGTCATCGATTATATCATCCTGCAAGAAGAAAACCAAAAAAATCCATATGAGGGTAAAATATTCAACCTTTCCCCAGTTCAACTCACTGTCATTGTCAGGCATTACGTCTAAAAAGGCAACAGCATTCTGTACATTTCATATATGAAAAGCTAAGAAGAAAGAGCAATCTTACCACAATTATGGCAATTCTCCCACCCACATCTCCAACTACAGTAATGGGAGGTTTCTCCTTGGCCATCATTACTGAAACGAAAAGCAGATCCAAGTCATCTCACCTTTCCTTAAGTGTASGAGAGGAGAATGGATCCTACATTAAGATTCATTCAAGGAGATTGGGTACAATGGGTTTAGAAAACGTTATAAAGCCAATCAGCATCCCAAATTACTGGAGTTTTATGAAGTGATTTGAAGAAATGCTACACAAAAAAGTGAAAAAAGGATCAAATCAAAGACAGTGGAGCCCCCCCCTTCCCCATTCTACCCCTCCTACCTCTTAGAGGRAAAAAATGAAATGCTAAAAAGCATGCCATGCAAAAATCAGTTGACAAAAGGATTTTCAGCCCAGGATACCCAATCAGAAACAAAAAAGAAAAGATCTGTAGAAACACACACACACACACTTCAGGCCCAGGCTAAAGAGGGAAAACAGCATATGAACCAAATATGCAACAGACGCTTTGATTTCACACGCAACAACAGTGACAAGCACTGACGAGAGTCTTYATACACACTTGCCAATGTTCTGGGATAAGAAGTCCTCAGTCAAATCTGAGTGCTGCAGCAACCACCCTGCATTTACATGCACACCACTGTGGTGTCACCACAAACGTTTCAATACTCCATCAGACAGGAGTTACATCTCACTGTGATAGTCTTTTATCACACGTTATACATCTATTACATTTATTCTGCAGTTACTACTCATCTGTAAATATCATGAAATCCTGAAATAAAGCCTTAAACTACATTAAAGGGGGAGTTCAGATCATTTGAAGTGGAGTTCATGCATGCAAACCCTTAATTGAAGCATTAAGCTAAATCATAAAAGGAATAATTTGATGCACTCTCCTAAAATAACTATTCATCAAATATAGTTTTACTGAATAACTCAGGGAAAAAAACACAAAAAAGCTTGTTTTAAATACTGGTGTGCATGTAAACGTAGACAATCGAAGGGTTTCAGGAAACATTTGACTTGTAAACAATCAGCGAGCTGAGCTGATTGTAAAGTTTCCAAAAAAATAAAATAAAATAAAAAAAGAAAGTAGAAGCATGCCTGGCAGAACAGTGAATAATCCAGTTCCTTTGTGTGAGAAAACATAAATTAGTCATTTTTGGTCATTAAAATAAACAACAAAAGCCACTTTAGTAGTACACAGTTTTCAGAAAAAAAAAAAAAACAAAACAAAAAAAAAACATCTAGTCGACTATACTACATCACATCAGTCAGATAATTTTCAATTTATGTTGTCAGAAAAAATTAAGAAAACACATCAATACAGATTATCTGCTGATAATCTAAAGTTTCTGACAATATAAATGTAGCAGTACAATACACATATTTTAACATGGCCTCTATTATACAACTGAGGCAGCACAGTTCCATTTTTTAACCTATAAACCATCTCATTTCTTATGTTTATGTCACAGTAATGTTCTAAAAGCATGCTTTGTTTCTTTTCACCACATGCAGTCATGGACACAGGTTAATCAGGTTTTTGAAAGTGGTTCTAAAATGGTTGCAGCATGTGTTGATTGGCAAGATGAGTCCAGGTATTGAACAAAATAAAAGAAAAATGAAAACCAACCAATCATCGTTCTGGTTAGATTTATGGATTTCAAAGTAAAAAGGAAAAAAAAAAAGATCAGAGCACAAGAAAATTTCAAAGAGGGTTGTGATCATCTTGTAGAAGTAACTATCTGGACCTATACAGAGGTGGATCTAATATAATATTTAGTCTATTTTTCATGTAAATTGTCCTGAGGAGGATGAAGAATATGGAGCTGATTAGGTTGAAAAATGCTTTTATACTAATTAGGCACTGCAAACTCTCGCTCCTGAATCCAAACCGTACTTCCACAAGATCCAAACACAAACCTTTTTCTCCACACATGCACAAATCTGGGAACCATATGAAGAGGAATCATTTCAGAGTCAGATGTGAATTAATTTTAAATCGTACTTGGAAGCTCTATGCCAGGGAACGGAGCTTGTTGTTTGCCTGCTATTGTCAACAAAATACACACCACATTAACACAAAAAGCACAAATATAAGACATGACAAACATTTAATGCCAAGACTTGGAAAATCCTCTCCTTAAGTTAAATTAGATGAAAAAAAAAATAACAGCAAGAACAAAGCCGATTGTATTAAAACAAAGTCTCCTTTTAGTTCCAGCAGTTTGTTAGCTGCAGTCACAGAGGAGGATTTTTTTTCTCGTCAAGGTTGAGAATGAAAGCGCAAACAAGGATAGACCTTTTATAACCAAACAATAGACACAAATGGGAGTCATTTGCCAATGACACACTCATCTKATGACTCTTTCGACTTGTCAAGACCAACAAAAATAGAGGCTCATTGTAACAATAACATTAGTTCAACAGTAGAAACAAGTAGTGACTATGTTCCTTTCAAAATTTYGTTGTAAGCATTTTTTAAGTTAGAATAAGCAGTTTGCTATGAATGTATAATGAGTACGTCTGGGTAATTAAATCATGCAATGGCACAAAAATCACGTTTTTGGAGTATGGCTGATGGTATATGAGTGAGAAACAACACATAAATCAACTCAAAGCAGGTTAGCACAGACAGGAGCTGTGCTGGTTGGTCAGAATCTGCCTTTAGTGGGTCACTGTACGAAAATCACATTTTAATTGACTTCATTTTACTTAAAGTAAGTCCAGTTCAGATGTCTCCTTATCGTGGCTTACTGGGACATTCTAGGTGTTTTTGCATTGTAAGGCTCGACCCACCCTGCTCCGGTTGGCCGGGCCTTACTATAACCTGTTATGGGTGTGTTTGCATTGAACAGAGAGCCGCCTCAATGTGGGAGGGATCAAAATATTATTATTTGCGACATAACAATAATGGACTACACCAAACTCGAAGGCAAAGTACAGAAGGCTGTACCAAACCATCCAACAGTATGATGCTGAAGACGAGAGGGCTAGATGACAGAGAACAGTAAGCTAATGGTAGCTAATGTTAGCTTGTTGTTGTTTGATAGCTCGCTATTGTTGTTGTGTAGGTAAACTCGTGAATAAAATGTTGCAGTCGCTGCAAACGATTCACTTAAAGTCACTCTCATCTGTGTGACGTAAGCTCCCTGGTCAGTGAATCAATCAAAGAGCAAAAGTAGCAAATCAGGCCGAGCAGTCTGCCACGGGTCTTGGGGTTACAGAACTCTGAGTGGACCTGGGCTATAAGTGCTAATGCAAACATGCTAAACACCAAAGTTTGAAGCCAGGCCAACCTGGAYCGGGCCTTGCAAGGCAAAAAAGCCTCACGATAATATTTTCTTTTCTGGTTTGACAAGTCAAAATGTTAACTGTGAAAAATGTTATTAAATTAGGATCTAAGTTTACCATTTAGGCTATTTTTATTGCTGACTTTAAACAAGGTTATTTAAAGCAAACAAAAAAGTTTAACTAGAGATGCACTGATAAATCAGATGGTGACTGGTGGTAGGCTGATCTGAAACTCAAAAATGTAAAAATGTTTTCCATGTCTGTGAACCAACCATAACCAATCAAATATCTGATTTTTTCTTGGTCTGTAAATGCAGCACAGCTAAGCAACTAATTTGTGCTAACAACAGTTTTTTTATGGTGTAGAAGTTTCCACGTGAAGACTAAAATTTAGCCATTTCAAATAATTTCATGATGTTGAAATTAAAGTCACAGGAATCAGAAATGGACAAAATTGTAACCAGCAGATCAGAGATGAATAAAAATCTGAATCAGCTAAAGAAATTCTGATCAACGCATCTCTTTTCTTAACTAAAAGGGACAATGAACAGCTGTAATTATTACACATAAAAGTGTACTAAGTATTTGGTCAACATAGATGCCAATAAAAACAGTAGTATAAAGATTGCTTAGCAAAAAAGGGGAGATCTTACAAGGCAGCTCCAGGCCTGTATGTCCTGTGGTGTTGCGCACGGACGGTGGAGAGTGTCTCCCATCGGCCATGTCGGACTCTGAACACTGAGCCTCGCCGTGGATCACAGCCAGACCCAAACGGAGCCGTTCTGCATACGACTGAGCCCTGCAAAAACACAGAGAAAGCTCTGAATGTGGATGTGAAATGGAGAGCTGTTTTTGCAGCATCACTGAGCAGTTTTTAGTTATTTTTATTTGATATGCACAGTATGATATATGCGTATAGGCTTTTCTGTTTACAATAACTAGTCTTTGAAATGTCTGCGACATGAATCTTTTGTAGTAAATATGAATTCATTCTTGGGAAGATAACATTGATAACATATTGCAAAAAAAAAACAACATTTAACACCGCTGAGATGAACAGTTGAGATATTTGCATGTGAAAAAAAAAACAGGAAGTGATGTCTAAGGAGAACGTCTGCGTGTGAACAGAGCATTGCTACAACAACTAACAACAGACTGTAGAGAAGAACTGAATGTTTGTTTAGATCATCTATAATCACTATGATAGGTTTAATCTTAAGACATGTTTTTATCATTCAAATACTCAGTATTACTGATCTGCTTATGTCTTAGTTATGGTGAACTTTTGCCATCATGAACTTTGTTACTGTTCAACTTTGCTGCTGTTCTGTCATGATGTTTCTATCTGGAAACAGATAATGCTGAGTTGCAGATTGTTGGAGAAGGAAGTTGACCTGGCCTGGAGCTTTCTGGTGAATGCCTAGGTGGAGTGCGAACATCTGGCTTAGGAGAGAGGATGAGAAAGTGACCAACTAAGCATGATTAATAACTTGTTGTATTATTAATGTTTGACATGAGACTTGCATTTTTCCCCACTTCCCTTAGGCAGTCTCATGTCCATGTAACTAGGGGTGTGAAAACTGAATAAAAGAGGCTGAGCTGCAGCAGGTCCTCAGAGCACTTGGGCTCAGAGCACTTGAACTGAAGGTACTGAGAGGCTTTGCTGCTCAACGCTCTCCTCACTCTTGTCAAAATGCTGGCTTGACTGTCTCTTTTTCTTGTYTGTATTTTGTAAATGTATAGGTAATTTCTACCCATCATAATTGGTCCTTCGAGCCGGATGCCAACACCTCTTGGTTCCAGCAGGGCACAAAGGACTTCGGTAAAGACTGTGGCCACAGCTATCTACCTGTTGAAGGGCCGGACTCCTTTTTACTTCGGCTGGATCCAACGAGTGACAGCAAACCGAGACGAGCAACAGAGACATATAGAGTGAGTAAAGTTTCACTTTAAAAAGCGAGAATGAGTGACAGTCGCCGCGTAGGGACTGTGTAAACAAGTGAAGTGAATAAGATAAAAGACCTGGATGATTCTAGACTCTGGCAGGCAAAACAAATCCTGGTGTTCCTGGAAAATCCTACAGTTCTTGGCCATATAAGGTAAATTAGTGGATGGGGAGGTCCCATGGAGTAGGCACTTAAAGCGTCCCATTTAAATTAAGGCTCATGCGCCTATCAGGAGCGCCCGAGTTAGATGAGCGAACAAGTACGTAGATATGTATTATCATAGATATGATAAGTCAGAGTTCAAATAATATTATTTCAATAAACAAAGACCAGGGAGTTCCCCTTCTTAAAGAGTTCCCTTTGATGTCACTTCCTGTTTCACTTTTGCAGAGCCAAGTAAAAATTGAAATAAAAATAGGCCAGTTAAGTGGCAAAATGGATAAAATCACGAGTATTATGCAAAGTTTCCTAAATATAAAGATGTTTTCTTTGACTTTTTGTATTTGAAGAATATGCATGTCACAGGCACTTTAAGGTAATCTTTACAGTATTTAAAGAGAAGAAAAAAGTTAAATACTGGACTTTATAGCTTTGTCATTACCTTTTAGCTGCAGCAGGAGACTTAGCCACAATTATGGCATTTCTATAATCAGGAATCTAACAGGATGAAAAAAAACCTGATGTTAGCACATGTCCAAAACTTTATTTTCTTTGAAACATATAAAGACATGAATACACCGTAACGGGATTATCACCTCTTCTTGGATGTACTGAATCAGGAATGGAGAGGCTCGCAGGTTATCCACCGGGAAACTGAAGAAGCCTTGGATCTCCTTCTGATGTAGGTCCATGGTGATGATGTGTGTTAGTCCTTCAGAGCACAAAACACACTGAAGATTTAATTCAATTAAACATGCTTTTAAATAAATATCCTCCTTAGTTTTGCTTTGTTGCTTGTACCTGCTCTAGCCAACATTGACGCTAAAAGTTTGCACACAATAGATCCCCTCTTTCTCATTTTGCACTGCTTGCTGTAAGGGAAGTAAGGAATAACTCCAATGATGTTCTTTGCACAAGACGTCTTGAGGGCATAAGCCATGATGAGAAGCTCCATGATGGCTGTGTTGACATCTCTGGTTGCAGGAAAACGTGTGAAGGAGAATAGAATATGGTTAGAAAGACTTGTATCAGGAGGCAAAATGGAGATGAAAACGAYTGATCTTCTTGTACTCACCTTGGTATGGTCTGGATTATGAAGATGGTTTGCCCACGAACAGATTCTTTCACATCCACTCTAGTCTCTGTATGAAAAGAAAAAAGTCTTAAAACTTTATGCTGATTTTCTTGTATTCTTTTAAAGTGGTCTTGATCAACAGCTGTTCTAGCCTCTTAAGAACTTTCTATCCATCTATCTATCTATCTATCTATCTATCTATCTATGCATCCATCCATCCATCCATCCATCCATCCGGGCTGCACGGTATATGTTGTAGACGGTAGAAACGGTATGCAGTTGGCCTACGGTAGAAATTTACCCTCTATCGTCCTATCGTCGTTACGTCATCACACCTGTGTCAACAGGGCTGCGAGTRCAGAGACAACTGAGCAGGAGTTCGAAATATAATGAAGAAATTCTAGCGTTTTAAAACACGTATAAAGAGAATAAATCCTCAAAATTTCCTCCTCCCGCTGTAGAAAAGTTACGTCGTGTCATGGGATCATTTCCTCCCGTCCTCTCCTCTCGCTGCACGTCACGCAGAGCGAAGCTTTAACAACTGTAGCTTTTCACACCCAATTGTCGGAGAAAGAAAAAGTTTTTTATGTATTGATACCCACAGAGATTACTAAAAAAAAAGACGTGGACGTTCGTTCAGTCGTAAATCCATCCTGCTAATGTAACGTCGGCTTCTGTCCTGATGATGAAGATGAGCGTGCAGCAGAGCAGCAGCTGATAAGTTCAGCAGGGACAAGCTCATTGTTTGGCAGGCAGATATTAAAGCAAAAATGCTGGGTTTGATTAAGATTAGTTATCTGCAAAAAAATGCTCTAAAAATTACATTATCTTTACTTTTTATGATAATTTTCTACCGCGATATATACAGTTACCGTGAAGG